GAGAGGGAGAGGGAGAGGGAGAGAGGGAGAGAGAGGGAGGGAGAGGAGGAGAGAGAGAGAGAGAGAGAGAGAGTGAGAGGAGGAGAGAGGAGAGAGAGAGAGAGAGGAGGAGAGAGAGAGGGAGAGGGAGAATAAACTTCTTAATGCGTGGGTTTTAGAAGGCCCTTGCAGGGGGACCACCTGCTGATAAGATGTACGTGTCTTCGACCTGACTGATGGGAAGGGGGTCCGTGCTGGGTAACTCATTTCACAAACTGTAGTGATGTACGATGATTGTATAAAATGTATTTAAAAATTTTTAAAAAGGTCTTTGCAGTGGGCCAGCAGGAGGCATGGTGGTTAAGGTACGGGACTTCCACCTGGCCAACTGAAGTTCAAGTCCTAGACCTGGTGGCTTGAGAAACCATGCCGAGCATGTGTGCTTGTGTGCCCCAAATCCCGAGGAGAATGGAAGAGAAGGGATTGTGGCATGGCCGTCCTCCTGGGGGGTGGCTTTTCACTTTCCCTCTTTCTTTCTGGCAAGCACACGCACCCTGTGGTTAAACACCTTGAGGGAAAAAATAGTAAATAATTTTGCAGCCCCCAAAAAAACAAAAAAGCTAACGCTGCCCCCCTCAGCGAGAGCTGGTTTGTGGGGATCACTGTCTTACATGCTGAGTCCCGTGAGAGCTGGTTTGTGGGGATCACTGTCTTACATGCTGAGTCCTGTTGACACAGCAGGCAGCGCTCAGCTCCCGGCTCAGGGCAGCCTCGCTCCTCGAGCTGATGGGAGCTCTGGGGAATCAGGCTGGCAGACAGGGCATGAGAAACAGGTGCCTCACCTGCTGACCCTGAGGTCTCTGTCACCCTGTAACCCTCCAAGCTGTCCCACCCTGCCTGCGAGCTGCTCGGAGGCCCGAGGAGAGCCCTAGACAAGGCGCAAGGGCGGGGCGGCCATGGTACCCGATACCTGCACCCGCACTGCACCTCCTCCCGGCTGTGCCTTCCGTGGGGAGCCGGGCCAGCCCTGGGCTTCCCAGAACTTGCCCCTCCCTGCTCCCATGCCCCTCCCCGCCTTGTGCCCGGGATGGGGCTGGGGGCGGCGACAGGCACCATCAGGGACCTGCAACGATGCCCAGCTTTTCTGGGAAGGTCAGGCCTGGCAGCCCTGAGGCCCTCATCAGGCTTCCCCAAGATTTCCACAGAGCCGCGGTGGCCCCAGCCAAGCCAAACGTCCGTGCAGAATAAAACCAGCATTGTCCGCGGAAAGGGCTGCTCCCGGCACAAAGGAGGCCATTCTAGTCCGGTTCACATCCTGGACTAATTCGTTTTCTAGAATGGTTCGGTAAACCAGAAGGGTCTGGCCCGGCCCAGAGCAGGGTCTGCTCAGCTCTCTCCAGACCCCCACACCTGTCTCCTGCAGCCGCTGGGCGGCCTTGGACGCTCGCCGACCTATGGCAGGGTCTCTGCCGGGGTCGGGGGCTTCTGCTT